GATTCGGACCGGTAGATTTTGAGAAAATGCAAAAAAAGTGAAAAAAAAGTTGTTTTTTTTTTTATTTTTTTTAAATATCTCTGGATTGGCTGAACCGATCGGTCTCAAAATCTAATCAGCTCTTAACCTTGAAAACCCTCATCGATCGCCACCAAAAACGTTAGAATCGGTTGATGTGTTCGTGAGATATCGTTGTCGAAAAAAATTGAAAAAAGTGTTTTTTTGTAATAACTTCGAAATTCATGGCTTGATCGATTTAAACTTGAAAATTTTTTATGGAGCTTCAAAAACTGCGTCGATTGCCGCCAACCGCGTGGAAATCGGTTCATTCATTCAAAAGTTATTGCCGTTTGAAAATTCAAAAAATTGTGTCTTTAAACTGCTATTAGAGTTTTGAGCTCGAAGAGCTCAAATTGACACAAAAATAATATTTTTGAGCTCGAAGAGCTCAAAAACATAATGTGTAGTTTGAAGCGTTTAAGTACAAAATGAGCGGGAAGTTGCAGGGATGGCCTTTAGGGTGAACCGTTTTTCTAATTTTTTTTTTTATTCTATTTTATTTATTTATTTATTAGATACAAACGCCAATCGACAATATCGAGGGTTTTCTAACGCAACCACGTATCTAGATTTTTGAAGATGAAAGGGTTCAACTGAAAAATTAATAATTAATTGTAAACGCGTTACTGAAAAAAATATTAACCAGATTAATAATAAATACGATAGTATTTTTAGAAAATACAATTGATAAATATTGTTTTTAAATTGATATTAAATTTTTATGAGCTATTTTTCACCTCATCTCTAAAATCGTCATTTTTGAGATACGAGGTTGCGTTAGAAAACCATCGATATACAATTTAAACAGTATAAATATTAATGTAAGAGATAATAGAGGTTTAGGTAGTATTTATTTATTCAATTTTTATGCTAAGGTAAAATAGCCGAATGACAATAGTATACATAAGTTTATAACTTTATAATAAAGTACACGTATAACAACATTAAATATTGAAGACCGACATCATCAATTTTAAGAAACTTTATAATATGAAGTGAGTAAATAATATAGATATAAAACTCTATGATGTACTATTGATGAGAATAAGTAGTTAATAAGGTTGTTATGAAATTATCGAAGGTTCTGCTGTAGAAATCAACTTGGTCATGCAGCGAGTTTACAAGTGTTGCAATTCGGTTTTTGGGACCATGTATTACATAGTTTTTAATTAACCTGGTCGTTTTCATTCATATTTTAGATAAATAAATATAAAAAATGTAGATATATTAGAAAATTATCGTATCACCATTAGTAGAATATAAATATTACGAAATTTTTTAAATCAAATGTTATGATACCATAACACTTTTTTTTTATTTGTTCAGTTTTTCATAAATTAAAAAAAAAAATTGTATGATACTCCAAAAATTGATGCCTAAAAAATTTCAATTAACAATAAGACAAGTATGCATTGTTTTTTGATTTCAAATTTATTACATGTAATGAAAAAACATATTTTCAAAATAGAAAAAAAAAACTTGAATAAGTTAATTTTTTAATTTTTATGGTTAAAAAACTGTAGTCTGATATCTAAAAAAATTTTTATGAAGAATATAAGAAAATCTGATTTTTGGCTTTTTAAAATTAAAAATTCATCTGTGTGGAAAAAATTTTTCTGTCAATGTTAACATAATTACTAAAAAACTGAGCATAATAATTTCATTTAATGAGTTGATTTATTTTACATAAAAAAGATTTTAAATAATTTCAACAATTCAAATTTTCATTTTTTTAAAATTATTATTTACTGCAAATATTGATTTTTTTTTGGCTAGCCGTCATTACTTTACAACTAATGATTCTAATTATTATATATTACACTACGACACTTATATGAAAGATATAATAATTATATTTATAATTTGTAAGACAATTTTTACTTATTGCAATCAAAGATCTTGAAAAAAAATTTTAGAAACCAGCGCTAATTATTATTCATTCGAATTTATTATAAATATTATGTAATTAAAAATCTAAATAATAATATTTTTCAGAGACCGTCATCACAGAAGAAGATCAAGATCCCGATCTCGATCGCGGTCAGTAACGCCAGAAAAAAAACGTCGGCGTTCCCGAAGCCGAGAGCGAGATCGTGACCGCGATCGCGAGCGTGACAAGGAAAAAAGGTACCGGGACCGACGGAGCCGTTCTCGAGACCGGGACCGAGATCGCCGCGATCGAGATCGGGACCGAAAGCGCGGAGACAGCAAGGAAAAGCGTACCGATTCATCAAAGTCGCGTTCGACGAAAGACCGCAAGCGCTCGCGGTCCAAAGAAAAGAAGGACAAGGAGAAAAATGAGGAAGATCTTCCATTCGACCACACGAGACTGGACAAAGAGGAGGAACAGAAGCGCCTGGAACTTGAAATGCAAAAGCGCCGTGAGCGAATCGAGCGCTGGCGAGCCGAGCGGAAGAAAAACGAATTAGAAGCTACCAAAAAAGACGGAAAGCCAATTCTTGCGAATCTCCAGTTGCCGATGAAGAAGTGGTCTTTAGAGGATGACAGTGACGAAGAAACTGTCCCCGTGTCGACGACTGGTGCCAAGGAGGGCGAGGAGGATGACGTTAAAGAAGAAGCCGTCGAGTTAAATCCAGTAGTTTCTTTAGACGAAGAAGAAATCGACCCCCTTGATGCGTACATGGCTGGAGTCCAGGAAGAAGTTAGGAAGGTCAACAAAGTCGATCCCAAAGCCAAGTCTGCCACCAATGGAAACTCAACCTCTAATTCTAGCAGTGGAGTCGTTATCGTCACCGGAGTCGCCAAAAAGAAGGTTCAAAAACAGAAGGGAGAGCTGATAGAACAGAATCAGGACGGGCTTGAATATTCCAGCGAAGAAGAGAGCGAAAATTTGCATGAAACTGCAGCAGGAATCGCTAACAAACAGAAGCGCGAATTAGCAAAAGTTGATCACGCAAACACCGAATATTTGCCGTTCCGTAAATCTTTTTATGTTGAAGTTCCGGAGATAGCGAGGATGACCAACGAGGAAGTTGAGCTGTACAAAGAAGAGCTGGAGGGAATTAGAGTAAAGGGCAAAGGAAGTCCCAAGCCGATTAAATCTTGGGCCCAGTGTGGAGTCACTAAGAAAGAGCTTGAGGTGCTGAAAAGGCTCGGCTATGAAAAACCTACTCCTATTCAGTGCCAAGCTATTCCCACGATAATGTCCGGTCGTGATTTGATAGGAATCGCCAAGACGGGAAGTGGAAAAACTCTCGCCTTTTTGCTGCCCATGTTCCGGCATATTCTCGACCAACCTCCTCTAGCCGACGGTGATGGACCCATTGCACTGATTATGACACCGACTCGCGAGCTGTGCATGCAAATTGGCCGCGACTCGAAGAAATTCACCAAGTCTCTGGGTCTTAGTCATGTCTGTGTTTATGGAGGCACGGGAATTTCAGAGCAGATTGCGGAGCTGAAACGCGGAGCTGAAATAATCGTTTGCACTCCAGGAAGGATGATTGATATGCTGGCGGCAAACAGCGGCAGGGTCACCAATTTAAAGAGAGTTACCTATGTGGTGCTTGATGAGGCTGACCGGATGTTTGACATGGGATTCGAGCCTCAGGTGATGCGGATTATGGAAAATGTCCAGCCTGGAAGGCAGACGGTCCTTTTCAGTGCTACCTTTCCGAGACAAATGGAAGCTCTGGCCAGGCGGATCCTTTCCAAGCCGGTGGAAGTCCAGGTAGGAGGTAGGTCTGTTGTTTGCAAGGACGTCGAGCAGCATGTCGTTGTCCTGGAAGAGGACCAGAAGTTTTATAAACTCTTGGAGATTTTGGGACATTACCAGGACAAGGGCTCGATAATTGTTTTTGTAGACAAGCAGGAGAACGCTGACACGCTGCTGAAGGACTTGATGAAGGCTTCGTATTCTTGCATGTCTTTGCACGGAGGAATAGATCAGTGTGACCGTGACTCGACGATCCTGGACTTCAAGGCTGGGAGGACGAAGCTCCTGATTGCGACTTCTGTTGCGGCAAGAGGGCTCGATGTCAAGCAGTTGGTTCTGGTGATCAACTACGACTGTCCTAATCACTATGAAGACTACGTTCATCGGTGTGGTCGCACTGGTCGAGCTGGTAACAAAGGGTACGCGTATACCTTCATTACTCCAGAGCAGGAGAAGTATTCCGGGGACATAATTCGCGCGTATGAATTGGCTGGTGTTCCGATTCCTGAGAAATTGAAGGTCTTGTGGGACCGGTACCGGGCGCGTTTGGCTGCTGATGGTAAGAAAGTTCACACTGGAGGTGGATTCAGTGGCAAGGGCTTCAAGTTTGATGAGTCAGAAGCCGCGCTGGCTAATGAGAAAAAGAAGTTCCAAAAAGCTGCGCTAGGGTTGCAGGATTCTGATGATGAGGATATTGAGAATGACATTGATCAGCAGATTGAAATCATGCTTGCGCCCAAGAGGAGTATCAAGGAAATAACCCGGCCCGCGGCTGCTAGCCTCGGTCTGACTGGTCAACCCCAGCCTAGTGCTACTGACAAGTTGGAATTGGCTAGGAAGTTGGCGTCGAAAATTAATATTGCTAAGAATTTGGGCGCTGAAGCTAAAGGAGCCACTCAACAAGCTGCTGAAGCTATCCTCAAAGGCGCCGGACCTACTAATCTTATCACTGTAAGTATATTTCATTTTATTTTATTTCTCAAGGGTCTTTATAAATTCTTTACTGAACTCAAAATTTTTTATTTGAATAAATAACATAGCAGATATTAAAAAAAAAATAACTGAAAACAGTTTTTAGTCCAAAAAAAATAGTAAAAATCAGAATTTTGATTTGGTTGTTGCTGATGCAATAACTTCTACTATGTAAAATATGTGGTTCAAATTTTATTAAAATCGGGTCAGGGGTTCTAGAGATATCTTGTTCGTTAATCAGATAAACAACAAATTTCTTGCGCCAAGAAAATTTTAAGGAAAACGAAAGTTATTTTGGAGCAAGAAAAAATTTTCTTGGCTCAAGAAACTTTGACTTCATTCAAGAAATTTTCAACCTTCCTTAATATTTTCTTGAGCCAAGAAAATATACACTCCAGTCAAGAATTTTTTTTTTCAGTGTAGTTCTGAGATAAACGCGTTTCAAGTTAAAAAAAAAAATCTTACCTAAAAATCAGCGATGCTGGCACCATACAAAATACCTTCAGTCTATTTGAAAATTTTATTTTTTTTTCACTCGAAAATCCACACAAACATTGTAAAATAAATGGCTACAGTAGCCCGAAAAAAAAAATTTTTTTTAAGTTACAAACCAAAATGATTTCTTAAGGAGATCCAAGTACCCTCCTAGTGTAAAGAATATCTATGAAAATACTTTTGTTATCCATCTTAAAATTAATTTTTAAATTAATTAATAAGATTTTTGAGGAAATTTTCAAAAAATTTACTTATCAAGTAATTATTAACATTTAATTGACTAATAAAAAATATAGCACACTGAATTACCGGTATACACTTGACAACACCGCAAGAGTTCCCTAACCTTCAAATTTATTTACGTTTACTGTATAACTAAAATGACTAAAGGCCAGTTTTTCAACCCGGGGTTTTTATTTAACTAGAGTTTGTAACGATAGCATCATATTTAATAAATATTAGAATAGTATTGTTGGTATGGTTATAAACTCGGGTAAAATGAAAACCCCGGGTTGAAAAACTGGCTCAAAGATCCTCGAGCATTTAAAAAACCGCAGTTACTTATGCACCGAGTAACTGCGCAAGCGGTGTTGCCAAGTCAAATACAAAACTTTAAAAAACAGAAATTACTCTTGATTTTTCATTAAAAATATAAAATATCTCCGTAAAACGTTCAGAAACCTACTTTTTTTTATTGTTTTAATCGAAAGCTTATTATTTTTTCAATCAAACTCAATGAAAATAAAATTTTTTTTAAATCGTTAATTGCATTAAATTCTTAATCAAATACACGGCTGGTGAAATCTTCATTTATATACATGTAAAAATTAGAATTTTCAAACCTAAATATTTCATTAAATTTTCAGGAAGTTTTAAATATTTTACTACTTCGCATGGATCTCCTTAATAAAAAAAAAAAAAAAAATTTAAACCCATCTGTTAGCAGTACAGTTAACTATGTTACTAAGTAGATGGAATTTTTGGCTACGAGTGTTTGGCGCAACGAGCAAAATGTGTGTGCCAACACACAAATACCAAAAGCTTTATATACCCTGAAAAAAAATGTTCTTGAATCAAGTATATAATTTTGAAGAACTTAATATTCTTGATTTAAGGAAATTTTTCTTAATTTAAAGAAATTTCACTTGATACAAAAATTTTTAGTCTTGATTCAAGACAATTACCCTCTTTAAAATTATATTCTTGGTTCAAGAATTTTTCTCTTGAAACAAGTTAATTTTTTTTTCAGTGTATTAACTTAATACATGAATAAACGTAATCATTATGATATGACCAAGATTTTACTTTTTGGTATTTGAGTATATAGGTCTATTTTTATTAATTATTTAAGTATTAATGGAAATATTTATTATGATTATGGCGGTGATTATTATTTAATTATTGTATGTATTTAGTTAATAATATTATATTAGTGTTACCGAAGGTGTGATTAAATTAAGAAATTAAGCGTGTGAGAATTTATTTTGAAGCCGAGCGAATTAAGCGAGCAAAAGAAAATAATTGTAAAAGAAATTAAAAGACCGGGGAAATTATTCTAAGTCCCAAGCCGATTTAGTATGGGAAAGCGGCGAATGGAAATAAAATGAAAGAAATGACGATTAATATTTGTAAGAAATATTTTAGGTAAGCGGAAATTTTATAAGTCCCAAGCAAGTTTTAGTATGGGAACTCGACGAATGGATAGAGAATGAACGAAATTACGATTAAAATAATAAAGAATTGTGAATTTGCCGAAACGAATGGATGTATAATGAAAGAAATAACGATTATTATTTTAAAGAATTGTGTTTGAAAAATAAAAACTTGGAAAATTTTCGACAATTGATGAGCTTGCGCGAGCCTCGATAGATGGCGAAGATGTTTCGTTTGTAGTGATAATTCAAAAATATGTTAAGTTCCGTTTTGAAAATGATTTTGACAAGCAATTCTTTCTCTGGAGAATTGCTCGGGCGAATACTCTTCACCAAGTAATTCTAGAGGATGATACTCTACCTGGAGTCTTACCAAGACCCAGGTAAGTATCAGGGACCGACCGGATGAAAGTGCGACTCCCCGTGCCGAGGCCTTCAGCTGAGGTACGGTAGGTGATCATAAGCCGTGCAGGTGGGAGCAAGGAGGATACTCTCCACTTGCTCTCAGGATAGAGTTTAGGACCCCACAGGGATGACGGCTAGTCGCCCAGGGGGGGAGGGGGGTGTTATTGGGAAACTAGTTAGTGTTTTGTAGACCGCGTTTTTGAGTTTGAACCGTGAATACCGTTGTGTATGTTTTGGATAGAAAGTTTCTATTGTATTAGTTTATATTGCTTACATTGTTTATATTGTTTATTGATTTCGAACCGCGTTAATGATTTTGAACCGCGAATATGTGTGAAAAGAGTGTTCTAATGTATTGTTTATACTGTTAATTTGTTTATATTGTTTATTAACATGATCAGGTCAATAAAGAGGTTTTTCTTTATTTTAATTTATTTAAAATCAAGTGTTTTCTTGATATTTTGTTATATTTTGTAATTCCCGTTTATGACCCTCTGGACTTCGGCGAGCTTCAGATTCGAGCAACGGGGACGTTTGTGTCGCAGTATACGTTCATTTGTTTTAGTTTATTTAAAAACACTCAAAAATTACCCGTTACAATGATTTTTTGATAAAATAACTAACTTTAATTTATATTTAGCTGATAAATTGATAATTAAATAATTTTTTGTTAAATGTTAAATTTAAAAAATTCTTGAACGTAAATTTAAAGTTGTTAACATATATGTATTTTAATTTTTGTAAAACACTGACTTAATACAAATAAAAAGCATTAATTAATTGATTATTAAATAAACAGAATTAATGACTTTTCTTATTTTACAGGCTAAGACTGTTGCTGAGCAACTGGCAGCCAAGCTCAATACCAAACTAAACTACCAACCGCGCGAAGAAGATCTTTTAGAAGGTGATGGTGAGATCGGCGAACAGACTTTCAAAAAATACGAGGAAGAATTGGAAATAAATGACTTCCCACAGCAAGCACGTTGGCGAGTTACTAGCAAGGAAGCGCTTGCACAAATATCAGAGTACTCCGAGGCTGGGTTAACTGTACGAGGTACTTACATTGTGCCTGGAAAAAGTCCACCGGAGGGTGAACGGAAGTTGTACTTGGCCATCGAGTCCACCAGTGAATTGGCCGTCAGCAAAGCTAAAGCTGAAGTATCTCGGCTAATCAAGGAAGAATTGATAAAACTGCAATCCTCTGGCGCTCATACTGCGTCCCGCGGTCGTTATAAAGTTTTGTAAATTATTTCTTTTTATCAAATTGATCGATTGTTTGACAGCAATATTTGCTCTAAATTTTTTTTTTTATTTTGTTAAAAATATTGACATGGAAAAAAATGTAATTTTAAATAAAATATTTATTTACATTTATTATTAATTTATTTATTTAATAAATTTGTTTTAATGTTTTTTTTTATCAATTTATCTAATTTTTTTCAAGTCAATTGATTAGTAAATTGAAATTTTATATTCGTAATTTAATAATGATTACATATTGACTCTTATGTATATAATTAAAAGAATAAGGAAAAATTTGCCTCCGGCGTATTTATGTGATGAAACAAGTTTTTTTAATTAAATTTAGTATCATTAGAAAAGTTTCGACCTGAATTTGTACCTTTTCAATGTTTCATATACTTTTCTAAAATAGTTAATTTATTATGATAAGTTTTCGAAATAGTTATAAATAGATTCGAATTTTGCGATAAACCAAATTTGTTTATTTTTTTTTTTGTTTTATACATGTCAATATGGTTATAAGGTAAAAGACCCCATTAGTGGTACCTTTACCCCCTATTAGTGGCACTTTATCTTACAATGAAAAAATCTTTTACTTGGAATAAAAATTAAAAATTTTTTTGATCTAAAAATCTTAAAGATTAGAAATAATATATTCATTATTGAAATTAATGATTTCATTAATTGAATAAGTACCAAAATTAAAGAAAGTGTCAGTAATGGGGTCTTTTACCTTATATGTCAAAAATTTATTTAGATAATTAAAAGACTAAGAAAAAAATTTTATTGGGTAAGGTAAAAGACCCAGTTATTGACACTGGCCTAGTTGTTTAACACTTGCAATTTTATTCTAATTAAAAAAATTAAATGTTCTCAAAAAACTAATTTTCTCGAAATTTATAATTCAAAAATTATATTTATTAATTTATTAGCGTTGATTTGTTTTTTTTTTTTTTTTTTTTAATTAAAATAAAATTGTGTCAATAACTGGGTTTTTTGCTTATATCTTTATCGTAAATTAGGTTTGATATTTTTTTTAGCGATAGTCATTTATTATTTAAATAATTAAAAGAGTAGGATTTAAATAATTGAAAGGAATTTTTATAGTTAAATTCGGTATTAAGCCAAAGTTTTTTCATTCATCATATTTAAAATTTTATTTTTATAAATACTATTTATTTAAGTTATAGTTAATTTTTATTGACATTTCCATAATATTGGGGGATATTGGCCAGATTTTGCATCAGATTCATAATTGCACAAACCAGAACAGCAATCACTGCTGTGTTCAACAGTACACTAGAAAAATTATAGACAATTTTTGTTTATTTCATTATTTCAATTAATATTTCAAATTTATGAATGATATAATTATTACTGATACATACCGACATGCCTTTTTTATTACAGTACAGATCAGCTTGTACTAGACTTATCATTGCAATAATAATCGCCACAAAAATTATAAACTTTAATGACTTCATTTCAATTTTTATTAAAACTATAAATTTTTTTCTTCAATTTGATTAGTTAAACTCGTTTCTACTCCAAGCGATGTGGCAATTGACTGATATGAATTAGAATTCAAATTTGTTGAAAAAAATTTAATTGGTAGCCTGAAGAAGACTCAATTTTTATCATTTGATAAAACAAATATCCAGCATTAGTTATTTGATAAGGTAGAATTACGTCATTATTATTTCTATGAAATAATATTTTTACTTCTACGAAAACAAGACAATTATTTCTATTAAATTTCTGTTAAATTAAGGTAAAAATTTAACCTTCGAAGAAAAAACAAACCAATTTTTTCAAGTTAGATGTTTGTAAACAACTTTGATGGGAATTTTTATTTTAAAAATGTTTTTTCTTGATACTAGAATTATGACTTGAGTATTAAAAAAAAATAAATAAATAAAACTTCTAATTACATTTTGACAAAGTAATTTCAACTTTGATAACAAAAACATATTAGTGTATTATAAACCGAGAAACGGAAGTTAGACATTCCAACCCAATGTGTAAAAAATCCAGAGTCGAAGGCGAAAATAGTTAACGCATTTTATGCATAAAATAAATGAAAATTAAAAAAAAAGCGCTTCGCTTTTGGATAGATATTTTTTAATTTTCTATTGAAGAGATACACACTGAAATCAATAGATATCTGAAAATTTTTGAAATTTTTATAACAAAATCAATCATGATATTTTCATACATTTGTACATGTGGAACTTTTTCACTTATTTTTATTCATGATAATTTGATTGTTATAAAAATTAAATTGTAAGCTGCCGGTCAATTTCAGTGTCATATTTTGATGATACTGAAAGTAACCGACATCTGTCAATTTTTTAGATTTTTGTATCAACTCAATTATAATAAAAAACATTATAGATGCAAATAAATAAAAAAAAAAAAATTTTTTTTTATAATTTATTTGTAATAAAAATTTAACATATTTTTTTCACCTAAAAATTTTAAAAATATTTTGTTTAGAATAATTTTTATTGAAAATAAAAATCTTCAATTTTTTCATATTTTTTTCCTTATAAAAAAAAAAACAAATTTTTAAGACTAAAGTTGAATGACATCATAAATTTTTTTGTAATTTTATAGCATCAATTAAATTATAATGAAAAAAATTAAATAAGACAATCTATAAAAAATTAATTGATTAAATATCAGAAAGATTTTTTTAAAACGCACTTTAAAAAAAAATTTATAACTCGAAAAAATATTTTTTAAAAATTGCACTTACAGTTTTTCAATTTTTTTAGAAATGAAAATTTCTTTTTATTTTTTATTGATTATTTTTTTAATAAAAAAATTTTTTTTTATTTTTAAATGTCGGCTAACTTAATTTTCATTCTGTATCATTACATCTTAAAATTATGTACTATTTTTCTCCTTCTTCTTCTTTTTTGTTTATTTAACTGCCGAAATTATAGATTAGAATTTCATGAATTTCAGATTTTTTTTTATTTTTAATAACCGATATTACCGACTATGAAAATTACCACTATATCTCTTTTTATTGTCAAAATATCTTCCTTACCATCATAAAAAAAATGGCCGCATGTTATTGTCCATTTCTAATGTAAGACAACTCTTGCACTAAAGGTTGTATCAGTGTTTTTAACTAAAAAAAAATAATAATAAATAATAAACAGCAAGTAATATTTTACAATAAAATAAAAATTAACAATCGTAACAACAAATAAATAAGACTAATCCCACAAAAACTCTTAACAATCCTTGGAAGATAAAATAATAAATATACAATAAAAAATTGGTTGCTCTGTCTTTAAAGAATTTTCAACTGAAGAAAAAAAAAATAATAAATAAAATAATATATATTATTATTTTGCAAAATTACAATGCATGGGAGTGAAGAAGTTAAATTATAAATGTCTGGTTTATTTCTAATAAGTAATGTGCTGTTATTTGATAAATAAGTGGCACGTAGTCGAAGGATTCATTGGCGATTTTGAAAGATAAAGAATTAGGTTTTGTTCATTTTTTATTTTCATTGTAAGTACATGTCAACTTGTTAAATTTTCATTCTAGAACTTTCTAATATTTTTAATTTTCTTTCACACAACATTTAATATAATAATTTATTATTTTATTTGTTTATATCCAGGAAAATGTTTCAGTTAAAATAATATTGTAAAATAATTGAGTCATCTAATCAGCTGGTTAACTTGGAACACGAGGTCAATTGTCATTTTTTATTTATGAATTATTTACTATTTTCTATTACTGGGAAGAAGTTTAAAAAATTTTTTTTTTTTTTTTTTTTTTTTTTTTTTTTTTTTTTAAAGCAATCTTGTGATTTTAA